CCCCAAAACCCCAAAACCCCAAAACCCCAAAACCCCACCTATAAACCTACAAATTGAATAAACTCATGAACCAATACGCTCTTCTAATAATACCAAATTCTCTTCCTAAACCCCTCTCTGTTCTCTAAAACTCCTCCTCCTTAGTGTTTGTGAAGGAGAGGAAGTGGGAAGGGAGGTGATAGGGGAAGGGAATGGAGAGTTTTGGAGGGTTTTGGAGGGAAGGAAGTTATGAAAAAGGGGATGGAGGGGGGTGAGGAGTGGGCTTATTGGAGATTCAGAGGGTCTAGGAAGTGATTAGGCTGATATGCCTCCTTAACCCATTTACATCCCATATCCATCACTATTGCAGCCAAAATATTTTATTCCAAAAGCCTATAGCCTACTCTTCACCTAGAGGTTTCTTCAGCGCTAGAGTAATATAAGCTTGGAGAATAACTTAGAGGGGATTGAAGGGGAGTTTTGGTGTAGATTAGGGGACTTGGAAGAGGTGGAAGGGAGGCTTGAGAGACGAATGATATGCAAAAATTGTTAGGTAAAAATAGGTTAAAATTAAGCCTCCTGCCGTTTTGATATAGAACTGCTGCCCTCATGACTAGTGTTCTCAGTCGAGTTAGACTCCTTTGTAATAGTCGAAGTCAGCTTGGTCATAGGTGACGCATTTTGGGCGAGGACATCTCCTCCGAAAGACATGTGGAATGTGCCTAAAGATCCAGGCTTTTGGTCAAGACCTGTTGGCTTGAATGAGACTATTACGTCTTGGACTTTTTTGTGCTTGGTGCTTTCAGAGATTTGGCTTTCTGTTATAGTATCATTAAGGTTCTTCATGTCATCACCGAATTTGACAACTTGGTTGCTTTCATCTTCCTTAGGCTTTATATTTTCTTGTTTAGAAGCAGCAGCCATTGAAAGACCCATTTCACCTCTAGTAAGTCTTCCCTCTTGACGAAGGTCTAGAGGAGCAGGCTTCAGAATTGGGTTGTTTCTGAAATCGGAGTAATCGATCTTCTCTTCCCTATGAGTTTTAGCCTTCTTCTGCCTCTTATGTTTTGAATATTTTATACTCTGATCTGTTACAAGACTTCTAGGTGTAGACTTTTTCTTTTTAGCTTGTTCACTTGCATGTGAAGACTTTGTGCAGCAGGTACCCATTACGTAAAATTCGAAAATAATATTACTAATTATATCTGGGGTTTTGGGGTTTTGGGGTTTTGGGGTTTTGGGG